AGTGGAACCACCGGCGAATGGGACTGTGATGACGTCCACAATAGCAGCGTCACGGTCATCTCCATGGGAGGCCATCTCCGAATCAGGGGAATGTCGTTAAGAACTCATCTCGACCGAGCCAGAAATGAGGAGAGAAAGTAGAGGGAGGGAAAGTACCTGAACCATGAAAGCTTGAAGAAAATTCAGGGAGAGCAACGATGCGAAGGAAATTGCAGAATCGAAACCCGAATTTGAAAAGTTAAAGGCTAATTTATATCCTTTAAACCGCCGTATCGAGGACCAATCAGGAAGCGACACGTCACCAGAAGCATTTAAGCTAAACGCGTGTCCAATGAAAAGACTAAACGACGGTTATCATGATGAATATGGGGAAAATAAAACGAGAGCCGTCAAATCACAGTATGAGGGACTGCCCACTCCTGTACCCCGATCTCCATTCGACAGTGCAACATTTGTGTTCATACTTCCTAATGCACTCACTGTCATTCGAGACATCGGAAGTGGGGGACTTGTGTTGGGTTATTGACCCGGAGGCCCAATACCCGGATCAAACAGGCCCAGGATACCCAGCCCAAACAATGAGTCCATTACCCTATGATGAGTAGATCCAGTTAAGAATCCATACCGAACCGGGTTCGGTTCAAGTAAAGGCCGGCCCAGAAAGAATAGATACCGAACGGAGTTCGGACCATATATCATACGTACTTGGGCCAAATTGACAGCGTCATCCGCAAGGTCCAGCATCCCGTTCGAGCAACGGGAAACCAGCAAGTGGCCAGGTGCAATTAATGCCAGATTGTGACATCAGCAAGTGGAAACATGGGTGATCAAGTCGGTGGAACAACGGCCAATCAGCATAGAGCAGCCCATGCTCTCCATTAGTATAAATAGAAGGTTTAAAATCATTGTAAGGGTTAGCATTTCAATACTCAAGCTCTAGAATAGCATTATTATCTTTGTTTCCTGTATTAAAGCATTATTCCGACCTACCGATCGGGAATTTCCTTGTAATCAGACGGGTTAATTAATACAAGTGAGCTTTTGGGTATTAGTGAATTCATATTTTATATTTTGTTAAACACTTTGATTCTGGTCCATTCCTGATATATCCAAAGTTCGTGTTGGGCTTTCGGATCTACGGGACTTACCTTCAACAACACTTTTCACTCAAAAGTCGAGAAGTGATTTTTTAAGTAGAAGTTGTCACTTGAAAACACTAATTTAGTTTTTTTAAGCCAAAAGTCGAGAAGCGTTTTTTTAAGTTATTGCAAACACTCCCTAATATCTACCTATATACAAAGCAGAGTGGAAAGTTTTACAATTTTCCCGCTCAAAAATGTCTCGATCATTGTCAAAGTCAATCCAACCCAACCCAATTAATGGTGTATTGTACCGCAAAATCCAGAAGTTAATACATGGTTGTGGGCTATGTAATACCCAACGGTTGCACTATTTGGACCAAACGCTTAAATACACATTTTAGCTTAAAAATATATTAAGAATTAACCTGTGAGTTCATTTTTGCTACATATATACACCATGCTTGGATATTGAGAGACAAAATATTTTGTAGGAATTAAGAAATACTTTGTATTACATAGAACCCACGACTCATACGTTGTGTAAATATTCTAATTCTTTTTTTTCTGGAAAAAGTATTCGATTTTCTAATTATTAGTTAACAAAAATACTTCAGTAGTTTTTTATGGAAGACTAGTATCTTACCCGTGTGTTGCACAGAGGAAATTAGTCCCGAATACTTAAATGCGTGTGGTGGCTATAATTTACTTGAAAAAAAATTAAATAAATCAATAAGAAGCCAAATATTTTCAATTCACTAAGAATATCCCAACAATATGAATAAATTAATAATGCTAATGTTTGTAAACAAAAAGGCAGAAAATATCAAAGTTGGGGGCCAATAAAGCAATCCCCTTTGGAGTAATAGACAAAAGATTTTCACTAACTTGTGGGTGCTTATATCAGTATGATCGTTATTCTCTATATTTCAAAGAAAACTTAATAAAATATAATACGGAGTACAATCCAGCTAATTAATATGGGTAAAAAATGGAGATTTTGACTTTGCACCCCATCTTTAGGTTGATACTAAATTTTGCACCCTATTTTAAAAAAACTTTAATTTTGCACCCATTACATAACATTAGGGGTGGACTCGGGTCCGGGCCGGGTCCGGGTCGGGCCTAGGCCCGGGTCTGGGCCGGGTCCGGGTCGGGCCTAGGCCCGGGCAGGCCGGCGGTTCAGAAATGGTGGACCCGGGACCGGCCCGGGTAACCACCGGGTCCGGTCCGGGTCCGGGTCCGGGCTGGGCCGGACCGGGCCGGGCCCATTATAATTTTTTTTTTGTTTTCCTCATCCTAATTAACCCCCCTCCCACCCCCACCCCCCCCAAACCACCCCAAATGGCCAAAAATACCCAGTCCAACCCGAAAATTTAAAAAAAATTGAAAAAAAAATAGGTTTTGGCCCGAATCGGGCCCGGGCCCGGCCGGGTCGGGCCTTGTTTTGGGTGACCCGAGCCCGGACCGGAAAACCCACGGGCCGGGCCTACCCGGACCGGTCACTGACCGGGCCACCGGGTCAGGCCGGAACAGTACCGGTCCCGGGCCGGTTCCGGGTCGGGCCACCCGGCCCGAGTCCACCCCTACATAACATTTTGTGAAGAAAAAATTCCGAATGAAGTGCTAAGTCAAAGGTTTTTTAAGCAGAATGAAGTACAAAGTCAAAAAATTAAAAATAGAATGCAAAGTTCAATATAACAAAAAAAATTAAGTACAAAATCAAAATAAAGAAATCATACAATAACTTACTCCCTCCGTCTCGCTAGAAGGTTTCCATTGACGGTTTACGATGCTTGAGTGATGATAAAGCAACTTAATCCTTGTTCACACTCTGATTATTTTTAGTAAATAAAATCAACATATTCAGAAACTACATTAAAACCGCTACAAAGTCTGATAAAAAATGTAAACTTGAGTAAAATTTGATTTATAAAGTAAAAGATTAAAAAATGATTTAAGTTGACCATGTGAATAGTAGACAAGAATCTTCTAACGGGATGGAGTTCGTACGAGGTACTCTGTAATAAAAAACAAATTTACAGATATTACCCCATCGCTACCACTCCAGCATACTTATTATACACCATCAATATATTTTTAATTAACTTAATTAATCGCGCAATATAGCTCATCTGCATTCCTTAATCGGCCCAATTAATACATTTTCTCCGCACAAACTAACCTAGCAGCAGCCTAATTAAAATGCTTAAAATGCTCACAGCTTCAGGTTGGATAAAACAAAACATTCTTCTAGAATTTGATTGGCTAAGAGCATCTTTAATGGGAGGCTTTCAACATTAAAAAAATTGTAACACGTGGCAATATATGTATGGAATGTTTAACCATGTAGAATGAATGTCAAAGCATAATTCAAAACCCAATCGAGATGTATGGAATGTTCAGTCAAATGCCCCACAATGCATTTCATTTATGTCTAACAGTTTTGTACAAGTGGATTTTTTAAAAAAATTGAAATTTAGTAATGTAACTGCTAGGAGTATGTACGTGGATCATGGGCAAGAGAAGTGCGATATTTTAGCTCTCTTTTTTGCTGTTTCGGCATGTGGAGGACACTGTCTTGGGAAGACTACCATGTCAACGATGTCAAAATTATTTTTTGACATGTCATCATAACACCCATGTTTACGTCTTGCCTTGGAGACAAACTTTTTACTCCAATGTTAAACAAGGATGACGTAGCCCATTTTTTAAATGTGAACAACCTCCTATTGGAGATGCTCTAAGAAATGTGACCGTCTTAAATCTCACGGAGTAATACTTGTTCAGAAAATATACTTTACCCCGTAGTACACAACGGTTGGACTTAATTACCGAGTAACTTATTCATCACATAGTTTCTTTTGTGCGGGAACTTGTTCTGCAAGATTTCTTTTGCTATTATATATTAATTAATAATTTTTTTTTATTTTATAAGGACATTTCTTAATATTTGTGATAAGCAATACCGACGTCATATCACGAATTCTCAAATTAATAGTAAGTCAAAAGGGACTTTATAAAATATAGTCTTTATTTTTAAATAAGTGCAATTGTCCCCTTTTCACGTTTCTCAATATATAACTTTTGACCAATATTATATTCAATTAATTCTTTTTAAGTAAAACAAATAAAAGATTCATATTTCGATAATTTATGTTGAGACAAATTTAACAATTTTTTAATGTAGTAAATTAAATACTCCGTATAAATAATTTATTAATACCTAAATAAATACTCCGTAAAATGTAGTAAAAGTACAACATGTGGAAAATATAAAATTATCATGTTGCATTTATTTAAGAACATAGTTTTGTATAGTACATGTATATATGATTTCCTTTCATTCCTAGCTTTAATAGACGTTACGAATGACAATCTTATACTACATACTAGCTTTAATGGAGTAATTTTTATATTTAAACTCCTTTAACTTTTCTTGTGTTCGTAGATCTAAAACATACATATTGTTTTTATTCGTTAATTGAACTACTACCTGTCTACTAACAATAGGATAAGCGTGACGTGCAAACCAATAGAAATAGTTTATGTGGTTGATATTAAATTGATAAAGTGAGGATAAACTAAGAATGATTTAAAACCACACAAACTTTACCATATTTGGTATGAGACCATCTTAGTGGGACGATTCCGGACGAACTGGAAAGGTAAAATGGAACAAAGGGAGTAGACCAGTAGTGGAGTACATCTTTGTTCGTGCATCGCACGGGTGAAAATCTAGTTTATACAAAAGCCCTTTTATTAACAATTGATTTTAATAAATAAAACGTCATCATTATTGAAGCTTTATATAGGACTTGTTTGTTAGTACAATAGCCGCACGTAAGTATAATTATTCTAAATATATGGTTAATTCTTCAGTCTCTAATTACACAGAAAATGTAAAACATACATCATACTCCGTATATTAAGCCACTTAAAGAAAAGCAGCCAATTTCTTTAGCAGTCTCTTAATCATCTGTTTTTCAGAAGCCAGTTTACATCGTTAACAAAAATAGCATTGGTTCTTTTTACGTGCAAGCCACAGATTAGAAGATTCATAAAATTCAAAAGAGGTAAGATAAGCCTGTGATATGGGCAATTGTTAAAAGCTTCTGCTCATATCTTGCAAGCGGCTACAGCTAAATAAACCTCGGGTGCCGCTCATCTCCTCTTCATTGATTACTAGATTGGATTTCATTGGCAAGTATGATAGAAGATGATGAAGAAATATGTATTTGAATTTTGAACCCTCGAGCTATTGAGATTTGAGGCTTTGAGCTGCTGTGGTTCTTGAGTTTCGAAGCTCTTCTTCCGTCTGGAGCTGAGAATCTCAGAATCCCAATCCCAAAACTCAACTAGGGAGATGAGATTTGAATTTGCCATTTGCCTTTTGTAGTTGGGCTTTAAAGTAGGGACAAATCCCATTCTAAAAAACAATCCCACATGTTGTGGACAAAATGAATACACCCAAACATTTCAGCACTTACAAAATGTCTTGAAATGTCTTGTTTAATTACACCAAGATCTAAAATATCATAAAATGTCCTAAATGAATACACCCCCTCAGACTCCCTACCAAAAAAATCTGGTCCCAACCAAGTCCGGTTCTAAATCTGGTCCCCATTTACCCCCCTATTGGTAAATCGCTTCATTTAGAATGATTTTACAAAACCAAAAGGCTCTTAGATAACGGATAATCATTTTGAGCTACAACAGGTAGATAACAAACCTGATATTCAAAATTCAACCATATCATGTACCAAGACCAAACCTAGGGGCATATGATCATCTTTCCACAAAGATAAATATATAAACAAAAATCTGCACAGCAGAGTATGATAACAATAGCTTACTTTAAGTTGTGCTGTTTTCTATAGGAACGATGCTTCGCTTGTCCGAAACAGGCCTTTCAACTACTTTCTCAATAGATTGCACATTCTTTTTAAATCTTTTATTATTCACGGAATTCTTTTCTACTGCCCGCTGCAATATCCTAACTGGAATGCCGCCCAAATCAAAGTCTTCCTTCAATGATTTTGTAAGGAACCTCAGGTCTGTATCAGAGAGCTGGTTTTTACCGCTCACAAACGCAACAAAAGTTGGTGGTCTGGCTTTCACTTGAGTGAAGTACTTAATCTTCGGTTGAGCTGCATGTTCTTTCCAAGAATGTCTACTCATCACCTGACATGCCATAGTAGACAATACTAATAATGTTGTCATTCCATACGGGTAAAATATTTTTGTACAAATTTACATATAAAACATTAGGCTACCCTTATATAAGAGTTTTGAGGCTGAAATCTTATGTTTAATATTATATCATATCATATATCATATCTATATAAATTCAAATTAGCAATCAATTCAACTAAAACTCAAATAGAGCAACTAAATTTCAACGGTTATATTATGTCATATTAAGTCATCTTACAGGGTCCAAAAATAATAATACTAACTCATGTACAGTCGCTCATTGGACTATTTTCCCTATTATGTTAAATTTTTAGAATGAAACAACTGTTCTAATTGAAGTGTTCCGAAATTACATAGCATAGCACCACCTCGGGGAGAATGGTTTGTATAGGAGGGAAGCACGGGCAGAGGTGGGGGATGCTAGGTCCTGGCCCACCCCCAAATTTTAAAAAAAATATTTGATTATTAGCGTAAAAATAACGAGTAAAAATTTATCCAAAAAAACTGTGCCGGCCTAGCCCAGTATATATAGCCTTGGCTACGCCCCTCGAGGGAAGCAATTCTCAAACCTTGATTAACCAGCGGTTGAGACGAGCAGTAGACAATCTTCGACACCACTTTTCATAGGTTTCAATGACCTGACGCATCACGGCAATTCTCCCCATTCCTTCAAGTGCTGAAACAAATACAACAGGAATTCCTGTGATCTGCAGATGGATTGGCGAAATAAATGAAAATGAAGTGTTATTATGTTAAATATATTAGTCACAAAATTAGGCTTCCTTATAACAATATTTTAATCTATAACATGATTAATTGACTATAACGAGTTAACAACTATCTTAATGTGATAGTTTCACATTGTCATATGATATTTACTATGCAATTAGGAGAAACCAATGGGAATGTTTTTCAAAGGAATGTAGTTTTATTATTTTTTGGAAATAATTCCAAAAAAATCCAACAAAAATATCACTCCATTTCTCTAATACTCTTCTTACCACTTTGACTTGGTAAGCTTCTTAAGGAAGTGAAATTGTGTGATTGTGATTGGTGTAAAAAAAGAGAAAAACAATACCAACCACACAAATCACATCTTAAAAGGAAAGAGAAGAGAAGTACTGTACATCTCAAAAAGGAAAGTGGGGAGAAGATTATGGGACGAAGAGTCTATGATAAAATATAAAAACTTCAAATCAAACTCTCCTATTTTGCATCTTCTGATATATTCTTCAGTAATTTGGTCTGCCTTTAAACAATATATGTACTACACTGCCATGTATTATTAACATTATTGTTAATAATACTTGTCCACTAGACCCACACACACACACACACGCGCGTGTTCCATATTTTCTATGTTGTTTCTATCTTGTGCCTATGTCTGGGCTGAATACAAATTTGCTGACGAACCTGGGGTATTACTGTCTGAATTTCTTCAGGAACAGCTTTTATAACACTCTGGTATAATTTTGATTTTTGTTTCCCTCTGAGAAGATCCATCTTGTTCACAACAACGACCAAACCCCGTCCTTCCTCCACAGCTCTTCTTGCAATAAGCACTTCAACATGTTTCATGCTGCGCCTATCTTTAGCAACCTAGCCATTGTAAACTTGGTCAAGCTATAGTGTACATTCTATATAAAAGGAAGTCTCAAGTCTCAGATAAATGAACAAATCAAAAAACATTTCGAATAAAAAGACAAGTGAGTCTGGAAACATATGCTCGTATTAATCAGCATTAAATACTCCATCGAATCATTAAAAAGGTTATGTGTAAAGTGTAAATATAAAAGTATGTTCTGAATATCAAAGGTCTCTCCTGATCAAACAAGTGAAACTCCCACCCATTTCTCTACTACTTACTTCACTGCTTCCTACTTCTTCACAAACACTCAACTAGTGCACTCCATCGAGTAAAGCTCTCATAGATGGATTACAGAAAAGCAAAAAGACAGAATAAAATTAAACAATGAAAGATGAGGAAGAACGAGCTGTGATATACCTTTACAATAATTATAGGTAAACAAATATCTGAATATTTGGGACTTCTTTATGGAGTCATATGAGGTCATGTGGCCTCATCATAATCTATCTCTATAGTAGGGTCATCCCACTATAAACATGGATGATGATATCATGATAGTGAGGCCACATGGCTGATATAATTCCATTAGTTTCATATATGACTCCATAGTATTTTCGGGCAAACAACTTCCCAAAAACTAGCCCCTAACAGCAAGAAATTACACTGCTTCATACTTTCATTAGTAAGACATTTCACATTGTGACATTTAAAACCAAGTCTGGGAATGTTAAAATAGCTTCCAGAAAGCTGAGTATAAATATTATCATCCACTGCTAACAATGCATTGGCACACATCTTCATCAGAAGCACTACTATCCCTCTCCAAGAACAAAGAAAACAATTAAACAACATGCATATACCTAACGACGAAGGAAGGAACGAAAAAACTCTGATTTGATTCTGGATGGCTGATAGTGCTATCATTATCCCTAGTTTATTAAAAGCAATAGCTTTACGGCTTTACCACAGAACTATTTAATTTTTTATTTATTCTAACAATTTCTTTTTTAATTGGTTTACCATATTATGGGTCATCAGGAAATAGTCTCTCTGTGCTTTAGTACAGGGGTAAGGATGCGTACATCTGACCCCCCCTTACCCCACCGTAGGTGGGAGCCTTTGCGGCACAGGGGTAATGTTGTTGTTGTTGTGGTTTCCCATATTAGAGATGATTGTTGACTTTCTGGACTTCAGAGGCTATATTAACACGAAAAAGTGAAGACAATCAAGACATGTGCCAATTGGTGTTCGGGTGTCTTGAACAATAATATAAGCCGTATTAAAGGACATTGAAGGGTGGGTAGGCTGTGTTTCTAATTTTACTGTAGTGAGAACTTCCTTTTTTAGTGAAACAGAAAACGATGATAGCCTTTCGGAGAGTGTTGTTTCACAATTTGTCTACATATCATTGATACTTTTACTAGTTAGTAGAGACTTCTTAAGTAAAACAGGTTTTTTAGAAGGAAGGTAAAAAAGTTCAAATATACTCTGTAACATAAACTTTAGCCTGTAATTCAATAAGATTGTACTAGTAGCCATATGGCTATGGTCATATGCCTTTGTGTCCAAACCTCTAGTTTTCCTCAAAGTGAAGACAATCAAGACATATGTCAATTGGTGTTCGGGTGCCTTGAACAATAATATAAGCCGTATTAAAGGACATTGAAGGGCGGGTAGGCTGCGTTTCTAGTTTTACTGTAGTGGGAACTTCCTTTTTTAGTGAAACAGAAAAAGATGATAGCCTTTCGGAGAGAGTTGTTTCACAATTTGTCTACATATCATTGATACCTTTACTAGTTAGTGGAGACTTCTTAAGTAAAACAGGTTTTTTAGAAGGAAGGTAAAAAAGATCAAATATACTCTGTAACATAAACTTTAGCCTGTAATTCAATAAGATTGTATTAGTAGCCATATGGCTATGGTCATATGCCTTTGTGTCCAAACCTCTAGTTTTCCTCAAAGTGACAGTTAAGTTATTATATTGGGAACAGGGTCAAATAGGCCCTCGAACTTACGTAAAAAAAGTCAAATAAACCCTTATATAGGAGGCTCTGTCCGGCCGTCGCCATTTTGATGAAATTTTTTGAGCATCTTATTCATCAAGTCTAGTTTACTCATACCAAATTCCAGCTAAAACTTCAACCAGGAAGGCATTCAAATGAATTCTTGAAGATAACTGTGCAGTTAAAAGCGCAGTTATCTTCAAGAATTCATTTGAATGCCTTTCCGATTGAATTGTTAGCTGAAATTTGGTATGAGTAAACTAGACTTGATGAATAAGATGCTCAAAAAAAATCATCAAAAAAATCCATGGGGAACTGACCCAAATGGCGACGACCGGACAGAGCCTCCTATATAAGAGCTTATTTGACCTTTTTACGTAAGTTTGAGGGTCTATTTGACCCTTTTCCCTATTATATTCAATATCAACAAGAAAATAAAATGGTAAAGATTTACTCATCAAGAAATCAATGTACACTAATGGACTAATTTCAAGATACCATTTCACAGAAACCTTTAATATGTAACAAAATAATGATTTGCATACCTCCTCTGCATCTAAGACCAATGCAACTATATGGGCACGCATTAGATGTTTCCTTGACTGCACTATACTCAAAGATGATGGACCCTTCTGCTTTGTCCTTTCCAACCAACCAGCTGTGTCAACCTAAAAATTAAAAAGTACACAATACTCCGTTGGAATCTTTAATAAACTTCCAGAAATAAAAAAATAGTTGGTTCGGAGATAAAGCAGAACGAAAAAGAAAAGAAAATGAGGGCATTTATTTATGTAGTAGTAAAATACATATAAATCGTTTGTTCATGCTTCAAATGTATGACCTTAGAGGCACAATATACACTGTATTTAGTAGTTGGATATTTGAGTAAGGTATATACCTTGAAGATTACAGAAGGATATAAAAGTAAAACACTATTATTTATTAATATACCCTACTTATTAGTTTCAACGGCTATTTGTTTTTTGGCCATAGGTTGTAGCCAGCTGCCAGCTTTAGGTAAAACTTTTTATCAAGTGACTTAAATATAATTAAAAATCATATAGAAGAACAGCATATACATCCAATAATTTTCTGAAATAGACTTGACGCCTAATCAATTAACCTTGTGGTTTAAGACATATTATGGAAGAGAACAATACTTGGTAGAGTCGTAGTCGTACAGAGAGAGAGAATCCAGATAAAATCCTACCAAATAAATTGTCCGTCCTTCATAATGAAACTGTGCACGGATCGAATCTCTAGTCAATCCAGCTTCTGGCCCAACCAAAACACGCTCTTCTTGTAATATTGCATTCAACAATGTTGATTTTCCAACATTTGGACGCCCTACAATAGCCAACTGTAATGGCAATTTGGTTTCCATGCCCACGGAGGATTCTTTTTCCTGATTATTGTTATCTTCATAATCTGTAATTTGTATGTGTCAAGATCTTTTATCAGAAACATATGTTCTGATTAAGTAATTGCTTAAAAAAGGAACCTTCAATTAAAATGTGGCATTATCCATTGCAGTATACATGGACACGTATTTAAGTATATCTATTCAATTTAAATTAAATACATAAAATATCATTCATGTCATTCGAAACTTATCTACCAATAATATCATACTCTGTATATATTATTAATAGGAGGGGAAAATATAACTCATGAATTTACAAGGCATAGATGTAAAATCTCCAAAAAGCCAAACCATGGGTGATTCAACATAGATAGCCAAATCACCAAAAATATTAGAGAACTTAACATCTTAAACTAATCTTGTCTGCACTATCAAATCCAACACAAGTGGTGTGTTGAAAATATATAGGAATTTTTTACCTCTTCAAGTTCTTGTGTTGGTGACTTAGTGAAGATTCTTTTACATGGGATTCTTCATTTTTTCACCTGGTAACATCAGCCCATGTATATCTACATACATGTGAAGCGTCTCTAATAACCTGGGTTGATCTACCTGGGCTGATGTAGAACACCAAACGTCTCTATTAATAGAACCCATGGGCTCGTGTAAAGGACCCATGGGCTGATATGTAAATGTCCATGTTCATGTGTTCACGTGTTATATTGTCTCTTCAAGTTTTAGCACTGCAAAGAATGGTAACCATGTTTACTGTGTTGCAAACATGGAGCATGTTAAGATGTTCCAGCGTGAGAGGCTGTTGACTTAGATAAGAATATGTTTCATTTGTTCATGATTTGTGTAACTGTGTTACATACGACTTTCTTAAATAGGATACATCACCTTAGAGACTAAAGGTCCTTTATTTGCATATATTATTCAACAGAATGAAGAATGTTGCCAGCAATTGCAACATTTACTTATTTATTAATGTTCAAGAAAAATCAGAGTTTTTAAATACAAGGGTCCTCCATTTTTGGAACTTTGTACTTGTATCATAACAGGATCCATCAAGAAGTAAAGTCAAATAAATCAATAAAACTCCTACTATTCACAATGGTGAAAAGGGTTTTCATATTGTGTTAAAAGTCCAAGTTCTGAACCCACATATAGAAACATACTTTCGCTTTCTTGTATGAAATTTTCAAATAACCATGATTTTTGAGCAGAACAATGCACCAAAGCTTTAGGCTCAGAAAAAACATTGAACTTGTATGGATAGTTCACAAAAAATTTAGATAATTCATTGGCATGCTAAAGGAACATGTTTAACAGCTTCAAACAATGAAACCTATCTAAATTTTCAAGTACGTTCTTTCAGGGTTTGAGCACAGAACCTAGCAGTCAGTGACCGGAGAAGCAGCAACCAACGCAATATCAATAAGCTAAATGAAAATGGCCCAATAGAATTTACCCACCCTTTGGAGGGTAAAATTGGAAACTACATTAACATCATTTGTTTCTTTAGAATACGTGCAAAACGCAGGTGGCACTTGTATTTTCGGACGGAGGGAATACCGTTTTACGGCATCAAAATCATCATAATTTATTAAAAATAAGTACCTTACCATTTAGATTTTGGAGTACATATTCCTCAAGTAATGGTCGGAGTGTTTCATGAAGTGCAGCCATGCCAAACCCAGTTTCAGCAGATACCGCAATAGGATCCCCAAATCCAAGTCTATATGCCTCACCTGCAGCAGCAGCAAGGGAACCATCACTATCAGCAAGTGCTTCAGCTTTATTCATAACCACAACAATCTTAATCCCAGACGCATGCTTTCTCAACCACTTTCCGACATCTAAATCCATTGGCTGCAATCCCTCTCTAGTAAAAAGATGTATAAAATGGTTTTGAATGTCCGTTCTCAAAAGGAAAAAGGAGAAGTACAGAAAAGAAGGCAGTGTTTTTCATCACACTCACAAAACCTGATGCTAGTTTCCAAATTCCAGTGTTTTGCATTTCATTATTGGTCATACAGATTTAAAATACTAAAAGTCATTACATTACGTTTACCTCTAGCTAATGTTTAATTTCACAGAATATTCACTTTCCCAAGTTATCTGAATGTATAAGTTGTTCCAAATAGAGCTTAAGTAAGACAGGGAGCAATTCATATGCTAAGAAGTTCACGAGAGACTACCGTGCATCAATTAAAAATAGTGCAAACTGAGATCTTGCAAGGACATTCCCGGTCATTTCTGCAGTTCTTTGAAGAACTGAACCAGATGAAGCCTCTGCCTCTAAGCCAGCAGAATCCAACACCATGAACCGCAAATCACCTATTTTGGCAACCCCGTCTCTAATATCTCGTGTAACATGGTCAGCAGGTGTGTTGTACACAAGGGCTTCCCTCCTTCGTATCAACCTAAATTTCACAAACTAAGAGTCATGACAACCAAATCCAATCAAATGAAATGGTAAATGATGCCATTTATAGAAAATCACAGTGGTTCTAACCGGTTAAACAGTGCTGATTTCCCAACATTAGGTCGGCCTACTATGATAACGGTTGGAAGTCTGTCAATTGCAATCTTAGTGAAATCAACTGATTCTGCTGTGGGAAATGCAGCTTTATGCTCTCCAGCACTACTGATAGCATAGCTGCCAGCATCAAATTCTTGCCTCACAACAGTGCAGAACTTTCTCATATTGGGAAAAACAGTCGGGTGTGGCAGAGTGACCAACTCAAGGCATCTTGAACCCAAATTTGTTGTTTCAATATCTCTCTTTGTGAAATGACAATAGGATGGACCTGGCCATAATCAACTAGAAATCAACTTTTAAACTTGAGCCATGTATTTCAACGAGGAAAACAACCATACGCCCCAAATAAAGAATCGCATGAAAAGACAAAGTAACAAACTTTAGTGGTAAAAAAGAAACAAGTTAATTACCATATTTCATTTCAGTAGAGCTACTGCTAAAAAACGAAAACGCCTTAGCTTGACCTTGACAGAGTTTAGAATCAATGAAACCAAAATGGGTGTGCAAGGATGCTAATCTAGATAGAATCCCAATGCAATGCCGATTGGACTTGCGGGCAGAAAGGGATCGAGCCCATGAGGGAGGCATATCCCGAGACAAATGCTAATTTGATCGATTTTATTTCTGGCACATAGTAGTTAGAGGAGGTTCATGGCTTTTGGTGACCGTATTTTTCCTGCAGACAGGTGGATAAGAATTATGGAGGCGACGAAGGATGGCTTGGCGGGGGTGGGGGAACTGGGACTAGACTAGGCCTGTCCTCGGGTCTAGACCCGTTCTCTATCCGAGTTCGACACTATATTTGAGCGCATGGGTCTAAATTTAGAACCGTTTCCCAGATTCGGATCCAAACCCATTACATGAGAGAGAAAAATGGGCCGGATATGGATGTTTAAGTTCCGGCCCGTTTTTGGACCCGACCTTTGGTCATATAATTATAGTTATAATTTTATTTACACACACAATATACATAAGAATATTTAAACATAAACTAATGAAATAATCAAATATAAAAATGTCTTAATAATTATAGGCTTAGTTAGTGGTTGGCCCACTATAATGGGGTTTTCCCAAATGAGTTTAGTGCTCTAGGTCCTCTTGATATCAAGCTCTTTCTTGTTTCAGAATTTGAGGATGTATAAACTAAAGGAAAGAACAACATTTTACTTATGATCTCTTCCAATGTGAATAAAATTTTGTTGTGTACTATATTTGTTTTCATATGTCAATTAGTTTTTTTTTGCGGGTATACCTGACTCAGATCCGAGACCCGGCGGAACCAAATCTGAAACATATGTTTAGAACCCGAAGGATAAATGGATCCGGATCTGGATAAAAAATTACTCAACGGATATGAATATGGAATTTATAGTTCTGGCCCGTATCCGACCCGTTGACAGGCCTAGACTCGACTTGGAGGGGCACAACCGCACAAACGTATGTGTGGGAGTTTGGAGGTAAGTTGTTGCGGGAAAGGGAGGGGAGGGGGGGGGAATTATAATTAAAATCAATATAAAGAATTTAAATGATATTCATTTTTAATTTAGTTTAAATTAACATCTTTTTAATTATTCTCAAAAACCTTCAAATTAGGAGAACTTAAAAAATAAGCATTTGGAGGGTTTTGAAAGGTTACAAAAGCTCTCCAAAACCACCCTCCGATTTTTTAAACTCCCAAACATGAAAAGGAGGGTCATAAACCTCCATTAACCTTCACTTTCCCTCCAAAACCCAACTCTCAAACACACTCTTAGTTCTTATTAAAACTTCCAAATAGGTTTGGCACAAAGTGTAAGATATTGGAGAGTTGTGCAGAGGAGAGAGAAATGTGTAAGAAATGTTGTGAACCACAAATTCTTTACTAAAAAGAAAAAGTGGAAGTTTTAATTGGAATAGACGAAAAAAGAAAGTTAGAAGTTTATTTAGGAACGGAGGGAGTAACAAAGAATCATATACATCAACAATATCACAATAAACAAAACTATAAAATTTAAATAAAACAACTGATTAAAGAGTACCTTAATCTATTATAATCTAAAAGCAAAATATTTTTTGCTACATGTTTGCCGCTCAAAAACATCAACATCAAAAAAGTACAAAGAGAAATTGTGAAAAGAAGTGGCCATGTTCATTGTTATGACAAACTTTATCCCAAAATCTTTCCAAAATTTTTAATTAAGTGAAAGTGGCGTGCAATCCATCTGGACATACAGAGTAGGAAAGTTGAGTAACGAATTAAAATTGAATGACAACGGTACAGTGCATCGATGAGATATTTGATTTGACGAGACATGTGATTAATTTATTCTCACACTCTGTAATACATACGTAGTAAATTACTTCAAAGTTTTGGCATAATCTTTAATTAAGTGAAAAACAGTTGGCTCAGACACTCCTTACGGTGGTTTCATAACTTCACCTCCATGGACCGTTATAAATAGACCAAAATTGTAGTGGATAGCATCAACACATCCGTTCAGTTTTCATAATTGTTTCAATCTCTTTTGTTCAAGTGCTCATACTGCTATATGTTGGAAACATATATTGTGAACATTGGGGTAAATGTGGAAGATGAAGAAATGAAGAATGAAGTTTTATATCTGAAGTATGCATGGGTGTGCGTGCGCGAAATTGATACGGAGTATTGTATTTGTTTGTCTTTTTTTAAAATTAATATTATACTCCGTAGCATATTATCCGAAAATGATTTCAAGATATGGATTCATTTTTATAAGAGTTTCAGGTGGCAAATACTTGGGAGAAATTAGATTACTAATTCAACTAACTCATACTTCGTATAAAGATCAAGTATCAACTACGGACTATATCACAACAAAATTAACAAAGTAAAACAGAAGATAGAAATCTCACACATCTACCATACAATATTTACATATTTACATAGAAAACAAAGACCTGAAGGAAGTCTACCTATTTCAAATCTCCAACCCGTTTGTCTGGTGAGAAAATCCCCCCATAAATTTTGCATTGACTTGAATTAAATATCACTAAGACGTTGAAGTGTAAGGCTCTTATGTTGTGTAAGGCTCCCGTTGAAGTTTAAGAAAATCCTTACGGCTGCAAATAACTGTAAGGTTCCCGTTGAAGTGTAAATCATAGTATCATACAGAGTATAATATATAAATAAAAAAAAGGGTAGACAAAGAGTTGTTAAACATAATTAAAATGATTTTTTATAAGTTGTTGATAAAACATAATCATGATTTTTTCTGAATGCGGATTTAAGCCAAGCAAGTGATGGGCTTCAGTGTCACCAATGTGAGAGTGGGTGATGACAAAATCTGATGAAGTTGTGAAAAGGGACAATAGATCAAGGTCTGGCCTTGAGGAGAGATATAACAATGTACAGAGTAAGAATAAGTGGGATAAAGTGGGGTGCCGATTAGGTTATATTTTGGGTGGAGTGTGTTTCAAGATTTTTCTAGAGAATGTGTGGGGAAAAAACTCCGTATTTTAAAGAAAATGAAGGTGTCCGGTCAACACCTTTTTTTTGGAACGTTAAATGTAGTGAAATGGCAAAGAGAAAGAGCTGAGGTTGGTGTATCATGTAAGAGAGCAGGGGATTTTCTTGAAATTTCGAAGAAATTAATTAAAATGTTCTGAAATACTTTTGAATAAATTAATACTGTTTAAAAAATTAAAGATGTGTTTGGGAATTCTGACTAGCGCAACAATCAAGACTTAAAAAAGTTATAACAATTTTAAGGTAAAAATGATTTTACGTAAACCGGTGATGGAGTATATGGGTCTAGGCCCCAGGACCCACATACTCAGAAGAACAGAAAGCAGTCACTTCACGGTGCCCTCGTCGGCGAGAAGACCCTCGTCGGCCGAAGAGGGGCCAATCCAGAATATGGTCTTGAGGCCAAGGAACCAGGGTGTCCTCGTCGGCCACGCCCTCGTCGGCCGCGCCCTCGTCGGCCACGGAAGTCTCACAGAACCGGATCTTATACTTATTCATTTGTATAGCCCATTAGAGGCTTTGTATTCGGCCCAATAGCGGTCCAGTTGTAAATGGGCCTCCCAAGCCCAAGGCTTGGGAGCCCAACCCGTATTTTCCCTATAAATACTTCCTCTGGAGGTAGTTATCAGGGTTACAAAATCATTCTATTGAAGCATATATTGCACTTCTCTCTCTAGCTCTCACCTCTCTCTAGACAATTACTCTATCATTTGGTGCTCTCGTTGAGAGCTAGAACAATCAAGTTAGCACCCTTCGTCACTACCAAGCACAGCTAACCACTGACCATGGGAAGAACTAAGTCAAACCGCAACCTCGTCAGCAAGACCATCCCTGAGGACCAGGAGACCAGGGAGCGCGAGGAGGATGCTACGGCCGACCAGGTCGGCGGAGGGGACGTCTTCCAGGAGGCCATCAACCTCACGACGGACCTCCGCAACCAACTCAGCGGCGGAGCCCCTGATGCCCGCATCGCCTTGGACAAGAAACGAGCTGAGAAGACAGACCACGCCCCGACCCAGCCCATGGCCGCGGCCTCTCCGTCTGTGGATCCACAAGTTCAGGCCGCGCTGTCGCTCATCATCGCCAGCTTGGCCCAGAACCCCACTGTCCTCAGCGCTCTCTTGCCAAGGACCGGGGGGAACATCACTCCACCTCCTCAGCCCCAACCGTTGGCCGTCCAGATAGGCAACAATGAGGGGGTGATGGCCCAGGACACGGTGTCGTCCCACTCCCACCCCGCTTCCCCTCTTCGGCCTGGGCAGACCCCAGCGCGTGGAAAAGCCTCTGCCTTCAATAGGCTGGGTGACACGCGCCGTCGTCCGGTTTCGGAGAGGATGGCAGGGCGGATTGGCGGGCGTCGGCCTGGCTCGCCAAGGGAAAGATTGGGGTCTGTCTCCCGGACAGCGGACCAGCCCCGCCTGGACAAGGGCAAGGGGAAGTTGCACGAGGACGACGTGCGCCACCAGATCAATGCAGCCCACGACGAGCGCATGAGGAACCAGCAGGGCGCCGCTGCGGCCGCCAGGGATCCCGGGACGAGGTCATCGCCCAGCTGGAGCGGAGGCTGGCTCAGATGGAGGCCAGGCAATCGGCCAACACCCCCACGGCTGGCGCCTCCAACGACCCCGGCCTCAACGCTCTCATGAACAAGGTCAGCGCCCTGGAGAGGGAGTTGGCCGAAGGGCGAGGCGACCCCATCATCCAGGTCAGAACCAGGACCCCTTTCACCAACAGGGTGCTCTCGGCCCCCATCCCGGAGAAGTACAGGGGGAACGTCATCAAATCCTACGATGGCCGATCAGACCCCCAGGAGCACTTCAGCCGCTATCAGAACAACATGCTGATGGTGAACGCGTCGGATGAATATCTCTGTCGTTGGTTCCTCTCTACTCTTGAGGGGCCAGCGTATGAGTAGTTCAACGCGCTCCACGAAGGGAGTATTGACTCATGACAGGACCTTGCTCAATGCTTCCTCACCCACTTTGCCGGGAGGAAGCGCGCGAAGAAGTATTTCACCCACCTCCTCTCCATCAAGCAGCAACATGATGAGTCCCTCCGGTCGTTCATTGATCGGTGGACGAGGGAGACCGAAGAAGTCGAGGGGGGCGATGAGCGCACCCTCCTCGTCCTATACCAAGGAGCCCTCCGCAGCTCCCCGTACGCCAGGAGCCTCATCACCGACCCTCCAAGGTTGTACGCCAAGGCGCTCCAGCGCAGAAGCTTGTACGCCGACGTTGACGAGCTCCACAACCACAAGAAAGAGGGAGGCCATCCCTCCAAGAAG